ATGTTTATTTATAACCTTTCTATAGTAAATTTTAGAATAATTTGTGAAAGAATTTTAAATAAATATGTTAATATAAACACATTTATATGTGTCTAAGTAAAGTTTTGATTTTTACAAAAAATATCAAAAATATATTTAATAAAAGTTATAGCTCTTGTTATTAGTTACAAATATTTCTAAGGTAGTTTGTATCTATGATAAATATTCATCAAAATCGAGAGATTTTTCTTTCAATAATTCGATTTGACTTTTTTGATTAATTTTATTTAAAACAAAATTTCTATACAAAACAGGTATCTAATTTAGCAAACAAGATATCACATGATATTCTTTGATCTAAGAATTCATTTAAAAAAAAGTTTATGTAATTTAGATTATTCATTGTGCTACAATTAGCATTTGAAATTAAGTGATATTTTAGTAAAAGATTCTCAACGGATTTGAAAATAAATTATTATCGATCATTTTACTGTTTAAAGAAAATTACCAATTGTTGTTACATATAAAACATTATTTTATACCAACAAAATAATAAAAGTAGTACTAAGTAACCTTAAAGACAATATTATTTTGCATTTTACATCTACTATTAAAGTGACAAATCCATATCATGCGAATTAAAGGAAAAATTAACATTTATTTATTAAAGTTTAATTGTTAATTATTTCTTTATTTCACATGATATAGGCTTGAAATTTTTATAGTAGATGTAAAATCATATTCACTTCGTGATTACTTAGTATTATTTATAAGATTTCATTGGTATAAAATAATGTTTTATATGTAACAATGATTGATAATTTTCTTTAAACAGTAAATGATCAACAATAATTTTGATCATTTTTTAGTCGTGTCTAAGTAAAGTTCTAATTTTAACTAGAACACATGAAATATAGTACTAATAAAAGTTGTAAATTTAGTTTAGATTTACAACATTTTATAAGATAGTAAGTACTTTCAGTAGATAGTTACTGAAATCGAAAGAGATTTCAGTTAACAATTTAATTTAATATTTTTGGTATCTTTTATTTAAGACAAGATTTTAAAACGAGTAGATATCCAATTTGAATAAATGAGATATCATACGATAGTTCTTAATTCAGGGATTCTTTTAAAAAAAAGTATGTGCAATTTAAATTATTCATTGTGCCAGAATTGATCCTTGAAATTTTTAAAAAATTTGATAAAAACAGCTGTCCGGATACTTTTGGCAGGCTGGTGTAGAGTCTTGGATCTTTTATGGGTGGCAGTTGGAGTGACAATTAATATATACATTAAAAAGAAAAATATTCAATTGTCAAGTATAATAGATAGAAATAATGAAACAAATATTTTTCTCAAAATATGATACCTTTATTATAACTAGGCAGAAATGTGGAAAGACATTGTATAGGAATGAGGATTGGAAACCATAATTTGCAATGAGATTCTCTTGCTGCAGCTTCACCTCTTTTTCCAAGTACCGGAAAATCAAATTATTCAATAGCAATTACCCAATACCTTTCTACTTTAACTAAGTATCCAAAATTAAATAAGATTTTGCAATATGTTGAAGCATTCCAAATACCAAATGACAAAAATGAAAACAAAAAACCTGATTGCTTTGGTTTCGATGAAGCCCTTGAAACATTTGGAGTCCATTTTATAAAATAAAATATAACTGGAAATATAATTGATGAATCACAATTAAAAACAAATATTAAAGCAGCTCAAGCAGAAAGAGAAAGAATAGATCTACTTTTAAGTGAATACCTTGAAGACACATCAATTTTCCACATTGAGCATGCTATTGATTCTAGAAGAGAATCATTATGGGAGTTGGTAAAAGATTTAATTGAAATTTTTGATATGGAAGTCTATTATCACATCAAATATTTAAAGATCTTGAACAATCTGAAATACATAAAGAAGGATGTGAAAAATTAATTGCATATTATAATAATAGTTTGGAACAAATGCAGATAATTTATAAACAAGATGTGATAAAAATAGAATCTCGAATTGTACAAGGGAGACATATGTTGAAAATTCATCAAACAAAGCATAAAGATTATGCTAATAAAAAGAAATCAGAAAGAGCAATGAAACAAAAACAAAAAAATGATGAAATAACTAATAATCAATTAGAGGTAAGTATAAAAAAGATTTTGTCAAACCTTTTGTCTAATTTATACTGATTCAGCTTCACATTTAAAATTAGGGATCCAAAAAATGAAGAAAAATACTTCCACAAGAAGAGCAAATTTATGGAAGACTTGTTGGCCTATAATGAAAGGATTCCAGACAATATATATGACAAAACTCTTCAATTACTAGAGCTGATTGGGATAAAAGAAGAGTTTAATGTTGGTGGAATTATCTTATTAAACAAAAGAATAAAGAATCATTAAAACAGTGAATGTATTGTACAGATTATTTTAGGGTTCTACTAGGTTTACTATATATAAAACAATAATTTGCAGTTTCTACAAAAACTTTTGTGTAAAATACTTATTTGTGCATAAGTAAAGTGGGAAATCGCTATGCAAAGCAAATACCTGGGTAGTTTTTTTAAACCTTCAAGTGTGTTTAACAATTCAATCAGTGGCATAAAGAAAAAAAAGTAAGTAAAGTTTCGTCAATAGTAATTTTTTATATAAAATGTGGAATATAATAAAATTTGTAAAAATGAGTGTGACAGAACATAAAATATTAAATAGTAGTAAGCATGCAATTATTTTTTAACACGTATGTCTGGTTATTTTAAAATGATTTTTGCCATAAGATGTTACACAAAATTAAAATACTAATGATTACAAGTGTTGTGACATTTCCTGTGACTGTTATTATGTCCTACTGTGCTAAAAACTTTGTGCTGCCTCACAGGAGGCAACAAATTCTGTCACAAATGTGCAGAGTATTTTAAACATTTTCACCTATCAATCTCAAAATTTGTCTTTCACAAACTAACTCTATCTGCCAGTAGATCAAGCAATCAGTTGATCTAAACTTGAAACAGATAATAAATATAATATAATTCTCTTTAATTTTTTATTTTTAATCTGTAGGCTCAGTAAGTAAGGTGAAGTGAAAGTCTTAACACAGTATTAAATAATATTTAACAATGTTTCATAATATCATGGCACAAAAGATAAAAGGTACAAATTTAAAAGTAAAGTATCATTTAACAACAGAAATACATGGGTTACATATTTATTTCACTGTCTCTAAATGAAGTTTACTTTTCTATCTAATAATATTAATGTTTAAAACTATGTGTAATTATTAATTAATTGAAGTCAAAGGTATTGCTAAGACTACTAAGACTCTAAGAGAGATTACTGTTTCTTTTATACTTTTTCACCTTCATTCAATTTTTACCCATCATCCTTTGTACTTCATCCTTCATCCTTACATGATATCTTTTGGATGACAACACCAGGTGATCATACAATTGTATTACCATTTATCATCCCCCGTGATAATCCGTATGATTACCAATTTACTTTGCCACAATATCAAGGCATCTCTGTTAACATGATGTAAATAATAGTTTTATTATTTCTATTCGACTTATTTATTAAAAGAATTGAAGTTTTTTTTTTGAATTTATATCCAATCATCAAAAATTTATTTCTATATTTATAATTATTTATTTTCTTTAAAAAAAATGGATGGAATTACGAGAATCATGAAGATAGGTGTAAGTGTTAAATTATCGATCCAATTTATATTTTATTTTTATTTAATTATTTCCTTTTTTTCACGAAAATTTATAAAAAGAATAATATTTTATTGAAATTTTAATTTAATGTTTAGTATGATTTAATCATGAAAAGATTTAAATATTTACTATTTTTATTTTTATTTTTTATTTTTGAGTGCATTTTACTTATTTCACCTTTAAACTATAATTATTGACATTCTTTTCATAACTTTAATTCAGATAAAAAGATTCCTACAATGTTAATAATAACAAAATAGATCATGAATTTTTATGGACAAGGGAGAAATGATAAGGTACATTATTATTATAATTATTATTTAGTTAAAAATAGTAGTGAATATTATTTCAGGATTGTCGAATTGGAATATTTCCTTGGATTACTGATTATCTGTTCCTTACTGATATATTATAGATTACATGCAGCACGAAAAATGCTTTTTCTGGTATTATTAATATTATTTAAAGTGTGTTATTTTATTTCATTCATTTTTTTTATTCCATTATTTTATTTCTTTTATTTCTTCTCTTCATTATTATTATTAGTTACTCTGTCAATAAATAAGAGCAAAATGTGAGCTAAATGAATATTCTGGTGAATTTATCTTTATAATATTTTATTTATTAAGATGTTTATACATTATTTAATATTATTTTTAAATTAATTGATTAATTCTGTTTACCTCTTTTGTAAGAACACGATGGTCACACAATTATTCTCTGATTCACATCCTCAAAAAATGATACCAATATACTTGCTTAATAATACTATGCACTTAATTTTATTTAATTTATATTAATATCTAGTGACAAGGAATGATGATGAATGGTAAAAGAGCAATATGAATCTATTTTCAGAAAAAGGCGAACCCTTCAAATTATTAGACGCTGATAAATATTCGTTAATGATTTATCGGAAAAAATTATAGAAAAATTAAGCTTGCTCGTACACAACCACCTAGATTAGCTCTAATCACTACCACTACTACCACAACTGCCTCCAACAACCCTATTACTCACCTTCCCTTTCTTATTCTATAACTAATACATCACATTCACGAACACCAACTATAGTTGATTCTAACGATCCTCTCTCGCTTTATCAACTTTAGTTAATTCTTTACCTGCACATTTCCCAAATGATATTAATGATTTTTTATAGAAAATTTAAATAAGTTTGAACAATCTTACGCATTTTCAGTAAAATAACTTCCTCAATATGATAATTAGGAATTGGTCATCATCAGCATCATCAACATTACCAACATCATCATCTTATTTTCTTCTTCTTCTTTGTCTATATATATGGAGAATACTTATGGTACTTATTGTTTAGCGATGCTGAATTATTATTACTTCCAACATATTGAGAATCATCATTACTTTCCACACAACGAGAATCATCATCAGAAGAAGGAACTAATCAAGCAGATTAAAAATGCAAATAATATGGAAATTTCGTCGACATTGACAATGAAAACTGAAATTTTGATCATATGTTATATATTATAATTTTTTTTAATGATTATTAAGCATTTTTATAAAAAAATGCCCAATATATATTTTTATCTCGGTATCCCAAAGTGAAACCATAATCTTCATTGCCATCAGATAACATTCAAACGAAATAATTGATAATGATAATAATAATGATAATAAAGTACTGAAACTCCTCTCAAACTATCACCATTCAATAACAATAAACGATGTCGATGCCAGTCGAGTTCGAGTTGTTGATATATATGATAATCAAATTAAATCTTAATGATGGTGATGATGATGGTGATGATGATGGTGATGATGATAATGATATTAATAATGGCGACGAAGAACACCATCGATCTAAGAAAAGGTATTAAGACTAGGTCTAAGCTACTATTACGTAATAATAAAATAATATCAATTATAATAAGGGTAAAGTTAGACAAGATGAAAAGAAATATATTTCGGCTTATAATACTAGAAAAAAAACTTTTCATAAACCTTCCAAGAAATCTTCAACTACTGCTACATCATCACCTATCACTCCTTAAAAATTTGAAAACTTCATCATCCAAACCAATATCAAAAAAAAAAAACGAAAGTCGTAGTAAACGTGAAGAATATATTGAAGATAAAAATAATAATGTAGATGTTGATAATGATAATGATAATGATAACGGTCGAAAGAAGATTAAGAAATCATCATCACTTTCATCATCAAATATGAGATCCACGTGAAGGACAGAAGAAGATAATTGTTTGTTACAACACCTGCTTTGTAATTTATTTCTCAAGAACTTGAATACAAGAAATGATCACTACAGAAGTATATTTTTGAAAAAACGATGTTTAATAATTTTAATAATATTTGGCTCAAATTTAATATTTTGGAATAAAAATAAAAATCAAATCTAAATTTTCATGATAATTTTTGCTACTACTGGATAACAGCAACAACGAAAGAAAAAAATTTTAAATTTCAATAGAATTATATGTAATTTTTCTATTATTTCTTTTATAATCTTTTAATTAATTAAGGAATTATAAACGTTATAAGCTTTAATTATACTGTATATGTTTGGAATAAAATATTTAATTTTTTTTAAAAAAATTAAATACATTTTAGAATAAAAATATTATTAACTTTTTAATAATTATAATTAATTAAAATTCGTGTTCAAAAAATTTTTTTGTTTAACAAAAAAAAAAAAAAATTGAATATCCGTGGACAAATAAATATTAATTTTGTGTATAATCATTATTATTGTTGTTGTACAAATGTATGCAAAAAGGAATTTATTTAATCCGATAATGTGGCCGTTGGCAATTTTTTTTTTTAGATTTTAAAGAAATTGAAAAGAAGAAATGGAAGAAGTTAAAGAAATTAAAGAAATCGGAGAAATAAAAGAAATGAAAGAAACGGAAGAAGTAAAAAAAACTGGAGAATCTGGAGAATCTGAAGAACCTGAAGAGTAGGCATATTGTTACATTAAACATAATAATAAATTGCTTACATTTCTAACCAATTATAAACTAATCACATATATACTATATTACAGTCAGTGAGTATTTAAATTCATAATTATTGAAATCAATATTTCAATATCATATAACAATTCTCTAATTAATTATGATCTAAACAATATAAATTATATTACAGCCCGTAAGTATTTAGATTTATAATTATTTAACTCATGCTTAAATATCATATAACAATTTTCTAATCAATATAAATTATGTTACAGTCGGTAAGTATTTAGATTCATGATTATTGAAATCAATGTTATAATAATTCTCTAATCAATTATAAACTAATCAATATAAATTATATTACAGTTTGTGAGTATTAAGATTCATAATTATTATAACCAATGTTTCAATATTAAAAAAAAAAATTCTCTAATCAATTATAAACTATTTTACAGTCGGTGAGTATTTAGATCCATAATTATTGAAATCAAATTTTCTATATAACATAACAATTCTCCAATCAATTAATTTAAATTATATTACAGTGAGTTAGTATTTAGATTTATAATTATTGAAATCAATGTTCCAATTTCTTATAACAAATCTCCAATCACTTAATCAATATAAATTATATTACAGTCTGTGAGTATTTAGATTCATAATTATTGAAACCAATGTATCAATATTAAATAATAATTCTCTAATCAATTATAAACTAATCGATATAAATTATCAATATTCAGTTTGTGAGTATTTAAATTCATAATTATTAAATGAATGTTTCAATATCATATAATAATTCTCTAATTAATTATAAACTAATCAATATAAATATATTACAGTCGGTGAGTATTTCAATATCATATAAAAATTCTCTAATTAATCATAAACTAATCAATATAATTATATTACAGTTAGTGAGTATTTAGATTCATAACTGATAATTATTGAAATCAATGTTCAATATCATATAACAATTCTCTAATCAATTTTAATCATTATAAATTATATTACAGTTAGTGAGTATTTAGATTCACAATTATTATAATCAATGTTTCGATATCATATAACAATTCTAATTATAAACTAATCAATATAAATTATATTACAGTGAGTGAGTATTTAGATTCATAATTATTGAAATCAATGTTTCAATTTAATTCAATATCAATATCACATAACAATTCTCTGATCAATTATAAACTAATCAATACATTATGGATAGTTAGTGAGTATTTAGATTCATAAATATTGAAAACAATGTTTTAATTTAATTCAATATCATATAACAATTCTCTAATCAATTATAAACTAATAATCAATATAAATAGTCCGTGAGTATTTAGATTCATAATTATCTCAATCAATGTTTCAATTCAATATCAATATCACATAACAATTCTCTGACCAATTATAAACTAATCAATACATTATGAATAGTCCGTAAGTATTTATATTCATAATTATTGAAATCAATGTTTCAATTTAATTCAATGTCATATAACAATTCTCTAATCAATTATAAACTAATCAATATCAATAGTCGGTGAGTATTTAGATTCATAATTATTGAAATCAATGTTTCAATTTAATTCAATATCAATATCATATAACGATTCACTGATCAATTATAAACTAACCAATAAAATATGGATAGTTAGTGAGTATTTAGATTCATAATTATTGAAATCAATGTTCAATCTAATTTAATATCATATAAAAATTCTCTAATCAATTATAAACTAACCATAACCAATATCAATAGTCCGTGAGTATTTAGATTCATAATTATTGAATCAATGTTTCAATTTAATTCAAAATCATATAACAATACTCTAATCAATTATAAACTAATCAATATAAATAGTTTGTGAGTATTTAGATTCATAATTATTGAAATCGATGTTTTAATTTAATTCAATATCATAACAATTTTCTAATCAATCTACAGCGAGTGAGTATTTAGATTTATAATTATTGAAATCAATGTTTCTATTTAATACAATATAATATAACAATTCTCGAATCAATTATAAATAACCAATGTAAATAGTTAGTGAGTATTTAGAACTCTTTCCGACAATCATTTTGCCAGAATTTTCAAGGAAGAGAAAATATAAAAAACACTACAAACAAATAATATAAACAACAACAAAACA